AGAGGGAAGCCAGTAATGCAATCATTCGACACTATCCATTCCTTGGTCTGAGTCTATCTTTTCTTCCTTAGAACCCAAAGTCTTTAAGAACAGGGATTGTAACTTTTTCAGTTAATTCTGTACCATACCAACTTCATGCCTCAATAAGATTTTTTTAGATAATAAATGAACATGAGAGTTAAGGGACCTGAGCTTGGCTCCTGGTGCCACCTCTGAATTTTCTTTTTGATCATATGGATGAAAGTAACTATAAAAATGACAATAGCACTTTAAGGTTTGTGAAATGCTCACATGTGCTATCTCATTTTATCTTCACAAAAACCCTGGGAGGTAAGCACTATTATTATCCAGTTTTTATAAATGAAGCTGAGATAGGTTATGTGATTTGCCTCGGGACATACAGCTAAGTAAATATCTGAGGTGGGTTCGAACTGAACTCTTCAGGACTCCATATCCAGCAATCTGTCCACTGCACCACCCAGCTGCTTCATCTACACTCCCTATGCTATAGCCTCCTCATCAGTAATATGAAAGGAATAATAAATACCTTCTCTTTACCTCACAGGAATAGTGTAAGAGTTACAACTGTAAATTATATACTATAGAATCATGGAATAGTATCATGGAAATACAGAATCTCAGAGTTGGAATAATAATAGCTAGAATTTATATAGCACTTTAAGGCAAAGTGTACATATATTAACTCATTTGATCCTCCCATCAACTCTATGAAATAGGTACTATTATAATCCCTATTTTAAGAATGAGGAAACTGAGGCAGACCAAGGCTAAATAATTTGCTCATGGTCATATAGCTAAGTAAGTATATGAGGCAGCATTTGAACTCAAGTTTTTCTGACCCAAATTCACTCTTAGCTGCTGTGCCAACTAGCTGTCTTGGAAGGAATCTCAGAGGTCATCTACTTTAGCCCAAGACAGATCACTAGGGACTCCTTTCAAGCTAATGCTGAACAATCAATGACTACTTTCTTTGTCCTGCCATTCAGCTAGGTCCCAAATCCATTTAACTGTCCTATTGTCCAGATCTATTCTCTCCATCACTTATACTAAGTATAGCATGAGCTATATACATTTTCCTAAAAATCTAGGTAAATTATATCTATGCCATTCCTAGGATCTACCAATTTAGTAACCCTAACAAGGAAATAAAGTTAATTTAGTATGACTTGTCAAGAAAGTCATGCTAGCTCTTTGTCATCCTGATTTTCTTTTTTTAGACATTCATTAGCCATGTCTTTAATAATATATTCAAGAATTTTGACAGGAATTGGGGTCAAACTCACTCACATACTCAACAAATATCATTGTCTATCCTTTTTGAAAATCCAGACAAAATTCACCTTTCTCTAATCTTTCAGAGACTTTTTCCATTCCCTGCAGTCTCCTAGATATCACTGACAGTGGCTAATCTAGACCTCTTTCAGATCACAATCTCCACGTTTTTCAGAATGCAAGATTAGTTCATCTGTGCCTGGTGATTTGAATCCATGAAAAGCAGCATATCATAGTGAATTAGAGGGCTGGTCTCGAAGTCAAGAAGACCAGAATTTGAATCTCGTTTCAGGAATTGCTTAGCTTTGTAATCTTGGCAAGTCACTTAATTTTTCTTGGCATCAGTTTTCTCATTTATAAAATGGAGATAATAACACCTTACAGGATTGTTGTGAGAAGAAAGTGACCAGAATGGTGAGGGGTCTCCATATTATGACATATGAATTCCTGAGGATGTTTAACCTGTAGAAAAGAATACTTAGGTGAGGACCATAGGAGCTATCTTTAAGCATTTTAAAAGCTATTATGTGAAAGATCAGAGACAGAGGAAAAGGACTCATATGTATAAAAATATTTATAGTAGCTTTTTTGTGGTGACAAAGTGCTGGAAACTAAGGAGGTTCCCATCTGCTGGAGAGGAGTTAAATAAATTGTAGTATATGAATTTAATGCAATACTATTGTGCTTTGGGAAATGATAAAGGGAATGTTTTCAGAGAAACCTGGGAAGACTAGCTGATAGATAAATGGGATTATTTCAATGGTGAGGAGTAGGAGGGAGAGAAAAATAAATTTTTGTTCATTGAAAAATAAAATAAAATTTAATTAAAAACAAACTATTGTTGTTTTTTTTGATTCTTCAAAAGAAGATATACTTCTGAGGAGGTATATCATTGTTGGGGGCAGTGTAGGCTACCAACAACTGGAAAGTGACTTCCTCTTTCAACAGCAGTAATGAGTGTTGGCCATGAAGAATTAGTCTTAATAGTCATCCTTCAAAAAGTAAGAAAGGAGGAAAAAAGTCACCTCATCTGTGATGATTTTTTTAAAGCAAAAATACCCAAACTCATTCATTGCTTTGTTTTTTCCCTTAAACAAACAGCTATCAATCACCTACTGGATGCAGACTACTATGCTATTACATATATAAAGTTTAGATAACTCATAGTCTAGTCCATGATGGAGGGGATAAATCTCAAATATACATAGCTAAAATATACAAAAATTACCCAATAAATACCTTAAAAAGTATAAAACTATGTTACTTTTGAGGAATAAGATCATAATTAACTTGAAAGTTTGTGGAAGACTTTGTGGAGGAAAGGTGGTTTGAATTGGTCATTGAAGGCTAGGTAGAAATTCAATAGGTGAGTTGGGAAAGGGAAGATGTTGGCATATAAGCAGATAATCCAAACAAAGACAATAATGAGTCTCTATTAAGGGGAATAATCTAATTTGGCTGGAACATTAAGTCAATGGAGAATAAAAATATGAAATAGAGATGCAAAAGATTGTGTAGGTTGCAAAACTTTTCTTGATAGATAATAAGAAGCTATGAGAACAAACTTATGCAGATAGAAGATTATTTTAGTAGAAATATGAAGAATGTATTGGTGTGGTATGGGAGAATGATGGAGGTGTGAAGCTCTCTTAGACCGTTGAAATATTCCTAGCAATTGATAATGAGGGTTTGTCCTAAGGTAGTGGCAGTGGAAATAAAAGGGAGAATGGATGTGGTCAGCGTTTGAGAAATGGCATCAGTAGAATGTAGAGAGTCAACTATGGAGTCAATGTAGTCAGTAGAAAGGCAACTAATTAGATATGAGAAGCAGAGAAGGAAGAATAAAAATAACCCCAAGGTTTCTGACTTTGACAACAGGAGGAATGGTGCTGTCATAGACTTAGGATTGAAAAGAGAAAATAAAGTCACAAAATACTGTCAACTCTTCCTTAATAATGTCTCTCAGATCCAGTATGGTGGGAAGGCTATGGGATTCAGAGGCAGAAGATCTAGGCTAGAATTCTGGTTCAGCTACCTATGTGACATTGAACAACTCACTTCCCCTGTCCAGGACTTGGTCTCTCCATTTCTTTTTTCCCTCCTTCCTTCCTTCCTTCCTTCTTTCTTTCTTTCTTTCTTTCTTTCTTTCTTTCTTTCTTTCTTTC